CCTGGAACCCGTCACACCCCCCACCATGTCCCCCTAAAATGTGTAAAACCACCTTGGGTACATGTCCTCAGGACCTCCTGAGGCTATGTCACAGGCACGTTCTTAACCTTGGCAAAATACACTTTCCAAGTTGATTGAGGAGACCTGTCTTAGATATTTGAATTCAAAAGAGGTTTGAAGAGGAAGACAGATGAGGCTCGGGCTGTGACAGAAAAACCAAGATGAAGAGACAGTCAAAAGCCGCTAAGTCACTGACTGTTACTGAACACGGCTTTGTACACTGTGCTCTGCCTTTATATGGACTGTTTTATTTCATCTTCATGACACACCTGGCATTCACATCTTTATTTATAGATTAAGATATTCAGACAACCAGGCACAGTGGCTCACGTCTGTAATCCCAGCACTTTGGGAGGCCGAGGCAGATTGATCATTTGAGGCCAGGAGTTCAAGACCAGCCTGGCCAACATGGTGAAACCCTGTCTCTACTAAAAATACAAAAATTAGTCAGGCGTGGAGGTGCACGGCTGTAGTCCCAGCTACTCAGGAGGCTGAAGCAGGAGAATCACTTGAATCCGGGAGGTGGAGGTTGCAGTGAGCTGAGATTGTGCCACTGCACTCCAGCCTGGGTGACAGAGTGAGACTCTGTCTCAAAAAAAAAAAAAAAGAAATTCAGATGTTGTTGAGTTACGTTTTTGTTCAAGGTTCATAATAAATGTGGGAGCTGAGATTGAAACCTAGGCGGTTCCACAGCCCATAACATACAGAGGATGGTGAGTGAAGACACCACCCTCTGGGCCTGGGCAGGGGCTCCGGAGGAGATGGCCCTGAGAGGTTCTGATTGAGGTTCAGCAAGTGTGGCCATGGAGGAAGCGTGGATCCTCCACCATCGTGCTTCGGGCCCCACTTTCACCCCAGAAGTAAGATGGGAACTGCTGGGTGTCAGGAAGTCAGGAGCTCCTGCCGCTATGGAGTTCCCCTGAAAACAATAAGTGCAATCCCCTGGGCCGGGCGAGTTGCCAGGCCAGGACTAGGAGCAGGGCCAACGTCCACTGGTTGCTGTGGGAAGGCCTGGCCAGCCTGCATCAGAGTAATGAGCCACTCCACTGCCCATCACAGTCCCCCACCCTCGCAGGCCAGCCAGCAACGTGTGTCCCAACTGCTGCACATGCTGTTTCTCTGGCCTTATTGACCACATCCAAAGGTGGAGTTTCTGGCAAAGGGGTCTGGAAAGGCCTCTCCTATATCATTTTAAAGGGACTTAACCCAAGCCTGCTTCGGGGTGCCACCCTGACCAGGGGCAAGGTGATAGGTAAAACCCTATCCCAACTCAGGTTAGTTTTATGCCAGAGTTTGGCCACTGTCTTTGTTAAAGAGTGGTTTATCTTGTCTGTCGTGCTCATTGACTGTGGTCTCTATGATGAATGTAGTTTTCATTTGCTCTGTAATCCTTGACTTACCTTTTGGGTAACTTCTGAAATGAAAGAAGGACTGCTGTCACTCTGTGTAGTGCATGGGAGTCCGAACTTGGGAATGATTTTCTGGAATAATGTCTTAGCTGCTTCTGTGGTTCTTTTGGACTTGGTGGGGTATGTTTTTACCCAACCTGAAAAGGTGTCTATAAATACCAGCAGCGCCGGGCACAGTGGCTCACACCTGTAATCCCAGCACTTTGGGAGGCCGAGGCAGACAGATCGCTTGAGGTCAGCAGTTCGAGACCAGCCTGGCCAACATGGTGAAAACCCATCTCTACTGAAAGTACAAAAGTTAGCTGGGCATGGTGGCACGCACCTGTAGTCCCAGCTACTTGGGAAGTTGAGGCACAAGAATCGCTTGAACCTGTGGGGCAGAGGTTGTAGTGGGCCAAGATCGAGCCACTGCACTCCAGCCTGGGCAACAGAGCAAGATTCCATCTCAAAAAAAATACCAGGAGGAGTTGATGTCACTGGCTGTAGGCATCTGAGTGAATTCCACCTGCCACTCTTTAAAAGGGCACAGTCCTTTGTGTTGCATTCCTCTGTTGGCAGGATTATGTTCAGTCTTGGGGTTCTTTTTGGTGCACAAAACATACCCCTGTGTAATTTTCTGAAAAGCTTTCCAAAGGTGGGGGCCCCTGAGATATGGCCACACAAGGTCTGCAAGGGTGCCTCTCTCATAGTGTGTTCTTTCCTGCAAATGTTTTAAAGCTGGATAGACCAGGGCCTCGGGGAGTAAGACTGTTCCCTAAGCATCCGTTTTCCAGAATGAATCTGAGTCTGTTTTATCAAATCCCTAGTCCCCAGGCACGCTTCTTGTCTTGCTCAGTGTAACAGGGTTTGAAATCTGACAAGTCCAAATGGGGAATTAAAGCTCCCGGCAGCTGCCTAATTTCCTTTAGTTGTCAATAAGTCATCTTCTCGGTGCCTGGGGCAGTGCATAATGGAGGTCTGCGTGAGCAGAGCAGCTGCCTCTCATAGAGCTAAAATTTTCACTGGGTGTTTAATGTCTTTATTTCCTAATGTCAGGAGGCCTCTCTCTTTCCAGATGGTCCCATGAGCATGCACTACCACGAAGGCATACTTAGAATCAGTGTAACCACTTTCCCTTGGATAGCTCCATGGGCCTGGTGAGGGCAATTAGCTCAGCCTTTTGTGCAGAGGTACCAGCAGGAAGGGCAAGGGCTTCCTTTGCCCGGTTGATAGTTACCATGGCATACCTGGCTTGGCACTGTCCATCCTCCATGAAACTGCTCCCACTGGTGTAGAGTTCTCGATCTCTGGCTGGTCTACCAGGTCTGGTCTGCTGGAATAGACTGCATAAAGATTTTTTGTTTTGTTTTGTTTTTGAGACTGAGTCTCGCTCTGTCCCCCAGGCAGGTGTGCAGTAGTGCAATCTTGGCTCACGGCAACCTGGGCTCAAGCAATCCTCATGCCTCAACCTCTCGAGTAGCTGGAATTACAGGCATGCACCACCACACCTGGCTAATTTTTGTATTTTTAGTAGAGACAGGGTTTCACCATGTTGCCCAGGCTGGTCTCAAACTCCTGGGCTCAAGCAATCCACCCTCCTCGGCCTCCCAAAGTGCTGGGATTACAGAGGTGAGCCACCTTGCTTGGCCTGCATTAAGGATTTTTAAACAGCCATGCTGTAAATCAGAATTGGGTCCTGTAGCTGGGAGCAGTGTAGTGGGGTTTCGAGGTGTGGTAGTTTGCAAGGTAACCTTTGGGGCATCCAAGAGAATGGCCTGGTGTTTGCCCATTTGCCCTGCAGTGAGCCATAATCTCCCTTTTGTTTTAGTAAAGTCAATACCTGGTGGGGCACAAACACTGTAACTGACTGTCCCAGGGAAAATTTTTCTACCTCTTGCAAAACTATACAGGTAGCTACCACAGTCTGAAGGCAGGTTGGCCATGCCTTGGTTGTCTGATTCAATTGCCTAGAGAAATAGGCTATGGATTGCAGTGTGCCTCCTGCATTTGAATTAACCTGCCCAAATTGACTCCTTGTGTTTTATGGATATAAGGTTTGAATGGCTTCTGGTGGCCTGGTATCCCCAGTGCTGGGGTTGTTATTAATTTATCCTTAAAGGGGCTCTGAGTCTAGTCCCTTTAAGGCTTTCTAAAGTGGTTTGGCCATCAGTCCAAAATTAGAATCCAGATCCCACAGAAACGGGTCATTTCCAGGAATCCATGCAATTGCCTCCTCTTCCCCAGGGTTTTGATGGCTGCTATTGCCTGTTTTCAATCAGTCATTTGGCTTCTCTTGTCTAGCCTTAACTTGGAGCCATGATAAATGACCTTTTGTTTGCAAATGTGAGCTTTCTGCTAGGATATCTTATATCCACAGGGGATACCTTTTACCTACACTGAGCCAGTTGATTTAGGACTAGAATAGCGATAGGTACTTCTCATAATCAGGGTTATCCACATATTGTAACAAAATTCCTTCATCTAGTTGCAAGTCTCTAATCTCTTGCCAGTATTTCCCCCAAAACAGTGGGAGAGTTTTTGAACTGCTGAAGCAGTACTATTCAACAATATTGGAAAGTCACTTTGGTCTCCAGGTCTTTTTTTTTTTTTGAGACGGAGTCTGGCTCTGTCGCCCAGGCTGGAGTGCAGTGGCCGGATCTCAGCTCACTACAAGCTCCGCCTCCCGGGTTCGGGCCATTCTCCTGTCTCAGCCTCCTGAGTAGCTGGGACTACAGGCGCCCGCCACCTCGCCTGGCTAGTTTTTTGTATTTTTTAGTAGAGACGGGGTTTCACCGTGTTAGCCAGGATGGTCTCGATCTCCTGACCTAGTGATCCGCCCGCCTCGGCCTCCCAAAGTGCTGGGATTACAGGCTTGAGCCACCGCACCCGGCTGGTCTCCAGGTCTTAACATTTAAAAGTGAATAACTGGTGAGCTGGTTCCTCAATTGGAAAACAGAGAAGATCATCTTTAAGGCCCAACACAGAAAACCATCTGTAGTTTCCAAGTATGGCAGTTAGTAAAGTAGAAAGGTTACACGCAGTTGGGTGAACATCCTGGTCTATCTCATTAGTTGCTCTTAAATTCTGGACAAAGCAGTATGCATCACAGTGTGACCTTTTTACAGGCAGAATGAGGGTATTATATGGGAACCTGCAAGGATGAATTAGCCCATTCCTTTAAAAGTTTTGGAAAATTGGTTGTGTTTCTTTTAAGGCCTTCTTTTTTAGTGGGTTTTGTTTGTCTGGGTCACCTTAGCTCTTTATTTAATTATATATGCACTGGCCGCACATTTTTAGTTTTTCCCAAAGTTCTATCTGCCACAACTACTCACTTTTTTTGTAGATTTCTGGAGGGAAAAGTTTTTCCTCCTTTTTTTAGAGGGTAAGCAACATCTGTAACCAAAGTGCTTACTGTGGGGGAACCTGCAAGCATCACTGCTGTTCCTCAGGGAAGAAGGCTACTTGAGCATTTAATTTACATTGTAGGTGTTGGAACCGAACTGTCGATTTCCTCCTGGGCAGGGGTCGCCGCGAAGGATCACCGACACGAGATTCACAGTGGAGAGTTGTTTATTACTAGCGCACTAGGGTCCCAAGCTCTAAGTTGGCCCTGGGACCCCGAGTGCTTGTTACAGGTTGTTTATATAGGCAAACACAAGTTCAAACACAGCTTAGGGTGCGAAATTCAAATAAAGCTTTAGGCGCGTGGTAATTGGGTCTGTCTATGGCCTGAGCAAGGTATCTTGTTCTGATTGGTTGGGGCGGGACCTTAGGAGGTTCTTTCCTGGAATTGCTGATTCCGGGAACATCGGGGACATTGAGTCAGGGTGGAACCCCATGAGGTTATCAGGGTGGGACCTCATGAGGCTATCAGGGTGGGACCTCATGAGGTTATCAGGGTGGGACCCCATGAGGCTATTTCCCGGAATTGTCTTTCTGTTTGGGTTCTGGGAACATCGGGGGGCTATCCATGGCCATCTGGGGTTTAAGTTTCATGATGGCCAAGCTTTCTAAATTTTATGAGGCTTAGGAATTATGAGGCCTAGTTTCATAGGCATCATCCAAGCAGAGAGATGGGGCATTCTGACATACATATAAACCATGCCTTAGTTCCAGATCCTCCAACTTATATTTCAAAGGTTGAAAAGAGGCTTTTTGCTGGATACCCCCTGCTATTCCCATCACAGGTGCTGTTATTCTTATGCTCTGTGCTTCTGGGGTGTTAAGAATTGAGTATGACGCCCCTGTATCAACCAGGAAATTAATAAGTTTGCTTTCCACTGTCAGTAATATCCAGGGCTCTTCTGGGGAAGTGTTAATTGGGTTTGAAAGACCTAAGGGAGCCCGTGGGCATCCCCATTAATTATCACAGCTCTGTCCCAGCATCTGTTTATGACCTCACTCCTGGATGGATCCTGATTTTCTTTGGCCCCCTGTCTCTTTTAGTTTTGAACAGTTGGCCTTCCAATGGCCTTCCTCCATGCAGTAAGCACATTTTTTGTGGCCTGGGGGGCTTACCCCGGTTCCTAGGGCGTTGAGGAACCCTGCCTGTGCCATATATGCAGTGCCAGGTTGTTGTTCCTTTTCTCCCTTGTTGTCTCTGTGATTATACACCTGCAAAGCAACATCCACCAACTGATCTGGGATCATTTCCAGCACCTCATCATATTTTTCTAATTTTTTTCCTTATGTTGGAGGCACTTCTCTAAATAAAAGTCACATTTAATAGCCTTGAGTTCTCAGACTTCTCAGGGTTTATGCCTGTGTTTCTACAAAAACCCTGATAGATTTGTTCTCAGAATTCAGAAGGATCCTCATTTGCCTTCTGGATGACTGTTTGGACTTTGTTCAGGCAATTTTGCTTGGGTATTCCCTTTCTGAGTCCAACTAGGACACACTTACATTAGTGTTCTAGGCAAGCCATATCATTTGCTTGGTTGGGGTCCCAATGAGGGTTTGTAACTGGAATGTCCATGGCAGGATTGGGAGTATTTTATGGGTTGGTTTTATGGAGGTGCTGCACCTCCTCATTTGCTTTTTTAATTGCTAATATCTTTTTATTTGCCACTAAAAGCATATTCAGGAAGGCCTGTACATCTGCCCAAGTGGATTGATGGGTGGCAAAATGGATTTTAAAATGTCTGCCATCCTCTTGGGGTCCTCCCAGTAGGGTGGATTGGAACTTTTCTAATTCAATAAGTCATATGTTAAAAATGAGCTGTATGTCTAACAATGTCCTGCAGGTTGTCTATTTTTATTTAAACCTTCTACTGGTAATCACCTAAATGGGAATTGCCCTGCCCCAATCCTACTTTTGCCCTGTCCAAACTGGGTGCCCTGCCAGATCTTTGAGGGGGAGACCATTCCAGCTCCCTCATACTCAGAAGGGGCTGTGGCCCCCTCTTTTAAATCTACTTCTTCATAATGTGGGGTGGAAGCAGTTGGCATGGCAGCTAAGAAAGCAGCTGATGGCCCCATGGGAATGGGCTGTGTTATGGGTCTGCCTTGACCGGGGGAAGGGTGGCTGCTGGCTGAGCCACAGCTGCCTCAATGAGACCCATAGTGGCTGCCAGGTTAAGGCCTATAAAAGGGTTAAATCTTTCTTGTCTTTTTTTCCTGAGTTTGACTATCTGGGAGTACTTTCTTCACATCTCCCTGCATGGCTAATATCCTATGGCCCCTTTCCTGTCTTGAGTCCTGATTCTGCAATAGCATAAAAGAGTGGGTGTATGGTATTTTCTCCCATTTCCTTACTCTCTGACAAAGGTCCTCTAATTTTATCAAAGTCCAATATTGAGTACTTCCATTCTGGGGCCAAAATCTATTATCACTCAGCAGGTACTGAGTCTAGACAATAATATTACAGTAATAAATAATCTTTTTTCTAGTCATAGGTTCATAACTATATTCCTTCCCATTAGCCAGATTATTCCCTAGGGGAATTTCAGAGGAAATAGAGACTTTATTGCCCATCCTAACTCAGTATCTGCACATAGGCCATTCAGCTTCACAAAAGCAGTGATGGTGGTCACTTTTTAATTTCTTGATTTTATTCCACAAGCTGTCTTCTGCCATCAAGCCTCTAGTAGTCAGATGAATTAAACCAATTTCACACAGCCAGTGTACATAAAGCCACACATGAACATTGTCTTACCATTATCGCCCAAAGTCTATAGTTAGTATATATAGTGTTGGTTTTTTTCAAAAAGAAAAAAAAAAGAAAGAAAGAACAAAAGAAAGAAGAAAGAAAAGGAAGGAAGGAAGGAAGGAAAAAGAAGAGAGAGAGAGAAGGAAAAGAAAGACTCAATTTTAAGTCTTCAGCATATAATTTTTAATCTTTATTATTAACTAATATACAATGTAGATAGGTTTAAATAAGCAAAAGCAATGAGTATAACTAAGTACTTTAAAAAAACTATATTTTCTTCTCTTCAACTGATAACAGCTTTGCTTTTCTCTTCAGGGATTAAGCATACTGCAAGCTTTTATTTGAGTTCAGTCTTGCAGAACACAGATATTACTCAAGGGCTGCTTAACAGGAACAGTCATAATGGGCAATTTGCCATTTATAATCTTCCACCTCTGCTCTTGTATAACTAACTGCTTCTGCTAACCCTTCAGCTTGTCTGTGTCTCTCCATTTCCAAGGTCTTTTACTGGACAAGCAGGGCCCAGGGAAGAATATCCAGGTAGGGTCCCTGGAGCCAGGAACAAACACCTGGAGGGGATGGAGCTGGCACATGTGGAACTAAGGTGCAAAATCAGCTTACGGTGTCAGGTCACCCATGCTTCCTTAGCATCATTTAGAAAAGGCAGGAACCAGGTGCAAAGGCTCTGGCCAGGGGCAGAAGGCACTAATTGAGAGCAAACAGGCTCAGAAGAGAGGTTCAGAGATGGGAGCCAGCAACTTTCCTTGAGGGGGCAGGACACAGAGCCCAGGGCCCAGCCCAAACTTTTCCCATAAATGCAGCAGGATCAGGGCTTACAGAGGTTCACCTGGTGAGAAGCAGTTCCCAGTCCTGGGTGCATATTGCTTCACCTCTCAGAGATTCCTACTTAATTGACTCCCCACCACCCCATACACACAGCAAGAGCTTTTGATTTTGTTTTAAACCCAGATGATTTGACTGAGTATCTATGGTTGAAAATCACTACTCTAATATCATGCTGATTCCAAACTGGAAAACAGGTTGCCAAAATGTAACTACTGCTCTAAGCTGCTCCTGCTCTGTAGCAGCAGGTCTTGCAGCCAACTTTGGCATCTTCCTGATTCCAGCTCTTCCTGTATACTGTACTTGGGTTTCCCCACACTGGTTCACCAAGGCTCAGAGTGGAAGGTTGGGCTCCCATAAGCTGGACAGAGCAGAGTCCTGTGAAAGTCAGAATGGATTCTCAGAAAGAGATGTGTCTGGAGGGAGAGGTCCTGGACCAATAAACTACCTCACCCTGAAGGTGTCCAGTAGTTTGCCTCCTTGACTGTTCACCCTGGCCAGAGGACCAGCCTGCAGCCTTCCTGTGGCTACTTGCTACCCACATGCCCAGAGGACAGTATTCTAAAGCCCTTCCTGGCAACCCACGATTCATCCTGCTACTGCCTGGCCATCAGAGAAATTAGAAACCAGAGGGCACCTGAGAGGTGTAAACCAGAGGATAGAGTTAGGGTTTTTCTTGCAAGTCATAGAAATGGACTCGACCAACTTAAGCAAGAAACAAATATGTGTTTAAAGAATACTGGGTGCTCATCGAATGAGTTCAACAACCTGGCACTGGGAAGGATAGAAATGGTTGCTCTAGAGATCACAGCAGCAGAAATCTGTGGACTTTCTCTTATAGGGTATTACTTTCAGGTGACATAGCTCCACCCACCCTCTCTTGCTTGTGCCATCACTCAGCAGTCAAATTCCCAGGAGACAAGATCTGACTGGCCCAGGCTGGTAATGTGCCCACCCATTCAGGCAGCCAGTGGGGGCGGAAGTGGGTTCCTATGAGTGGCAGCTCTCCAAGACGCACATAGAAGGAGCAAGGGGGCAGTTCTTCCAAAGGAAAGGAAAGAATGGCCAGAGGAAGACGTAAGAAAGAGGCGGATACTCCCTGGTTACCATAGTGGGGATATCCTGGGTGGAGGAGTCAGCAAATTTCCCTTACTGTACTATCAAACAGTATGAACTATAAACGCACATTTTCTGTATGGGTATTTCCCTCTTTCCTCCCCACCTGTCCTAGAGGACCACTCCAAGGGAAGCTGGCAGGAATCCTCACTTCACCAAGTTTTAGAGCAGTAGAGTAATTTCTTGCACCCCTGATTTTGCAGACTCAGAGTCCTACCCTTCAGTGTGGAGACTCAACCTGGTTGACAAAGACCCCTCAGGCAGAGCATGTCTGTATCAGGGACTGGTCACAAACCAAGACAGAGCCATGCCTTCGAGGCAGTGGGGAGCCCAGGCAGAATCGTGTGCCTCTAGGAGGCCCGGGTTCAGAGGGCGCTCCCTAAGCTGCATGGGAGAGGGTCCAACAGACCACTGTAAATGCCTTCAGCAGACTCAGGGCTGTTGCCAGGATGAAGAAAGGGGGTGATGAAGACGACTAGAGGCTGTGGACCGGATTAATTCCTGATTCCCAGGAAAATATCTAGAAAGAGAAGGGCATGGAGGATGATTTTTAAGCCCTTTATGCCAGACTGAGAATTTCTAAAAGAACTGACCTTCCTCCTGGAGAGAAAGAATTTTCCCTCCAGGGGAAGTTCTGAAGCACCTGTCAGGGTCTGCCCTCTGGGGCAAGAGGCTTTCTATCAGAGTCAGCAGCCCACGCTGGCACTTGACAGGTGTCACCAGCTATCAGGTGGGGACACCTCTAACTGAACAGCCAAGACCAAAGGGCCCCAGTATTCAGCAAGCGGTTGGGGGGCCCAATGCAGAGACTGAGCTAGGGGAGATATCTGAACCCATAGCAAGGCTAGA